TGGTAACGAAAAAAGTAAAGATATCAGCTAACAATAGAGTTTATCCCATGTTAAACCTTCCGTTTTCTTTTATACAAACCCAGGTATTTGCGTAGCAACAACCTTGTTAGAGTATATAGAAAAAATTAATGACTTAAGGGGTAATTGTGGTAGCCTCTGTACATTATAATTAGAAAGCCCAATCATGCTGCCTTCTACGCAGACCTTCAGCTGATAGATGAACTTCTTTTTTGAGTAATTGCTATGGAACAATTTTTTCCTCTTAGAGCACATGACATCTCTATTTTTTAAGTTTTCTTGAAAGTGTGTCAATTATGACAATATAAATTTTAAACTTGTAATCAGTAAATAAAATGTTTTATCGTAATTTTTTGTTGCAACATGCTTTAAACAGCGACATATATCTTATTTACGAGACGAGGCAGAAATATAATTATAAGATCAAACGAACTTACCTAAAGTGAAGTTCGATCTTAATTATATGATGCGTCGTCGAAGTAAATAAGTCCCAGACCCACCCAATATTTCTAAAGTCCCTTTTAAGTTGCAACAAGTATGCTATGAAATGACTAAAGCAAAATGTTGAGATGAGGGGATTGGTGGAGAAGGGAATATATCAAATAGTTCCAGCTTTCAACTATATGGTCGAATCAAAGCATATACAGGGGGCGACATATATCTTATTTACTTCGACGAGGCATCATACAATGTGTCTACTTAAGTTGGAACCATATGGAAAACATTTTTATTATTGATTTTAGGAAAAAAAGTTATTCTTGATAAAAATTCCGAAGCAGAAGCGGATGATTAAAACGCACCTATTAAAAATATTGCGCCAAGATGTAGACAATAAGTAATAAGGGTTCAAAATGGCGGAGTTTTCTATCTCCTTTTAAATGGCACTCAGAAAGCTGCGCAGTGCGACCATTCTCCGTATTAGTCATTCCAACGACCTGTCCAAATGGCTACCAGTCACATACTTTGATTTGTGCTACCAGTGGGTAATGACAGTTTAGATATGGCAACCCTGTTGTCAAGTTGTCATTAACAGGGTCAATGTACATATATAGTTATATAGATTGCTCAAAGCTGGTCGTTTACGAGCGGTTATATTGCCTGGCAAATATTTATTAATTTGAATCGGTTTAGCAAAAATGTGTTTTAAAACCAATTATTAGCCTTTAGATATTTAAAAAAAAATAATTGCTTACATTTTTACTTCAAGGCATAAGCTTATGTTTATTTTGAAAAATATGGATGATCAATCTATGTAACTATCTATTTCATTGACCTTGTCAAATCACCAGGCCTACAGGGTTGCCATAATTTTGCCATATCATAAACCGTCAAAACCCACTGGTAGCCATTCAGTTTGGAATGCCTAATAGTAAAAGAAAATCATGTGCTGTCATCCGTCATAATAACGCAGGGTTCGAATTTTTTTTCGAAACCGTCTTTTTCAAGTGCCTCTTTGATAGCCGAGAATACTAAAGTGTAGTTAATTTCCGACTGTCCAGTGTGCAATACACAAGCTATAGGAATGGCATCCACTTTATGAGCCGTAAAACAAAATGTTACTTCAGTGGTCCCCTGTTTGGTGAACCACTAAATTCTTCGAATTACTGGAAATGAAATAATTTTGATAAGGTTTATTTCCAAATATATAAAATAACAATAAATAATAAATATGGTGCAGGGAATTTTTTAGTTGATGAGTAGATGATTTGATGTAGAAAATCTAGTTGTTTATCTTGGTCTTTTGGTTAGCATAGCAACGGCGATCCTTTACATCGTGCTCCCAATCTTCTGCCTACTTGGATCTTCGAATAATCCTGTAAAGACTTACAGAAAGAAAAGCATAGCTTAATCAATAACAATGACGTTATTGAAAAAGAAGAAACCAGATGGTTGTCACTCTAAAAACACTGCATATAACCAAAAAATAAAAATAACGACACAAAATGTTAAATATGAAAAAGCAACTGAAATGTCATAAAAATCATTTAGAAGTTCTTTATGAGCTCGCCAAACGAGACGCGGGCACCACAGTTACATTTGTATTTGTCTGGTCACATGAACTAGTTGTATCCACAAACACAATTTTGTCTGAAAGTCCCGTAAGAAAAGCACGTTTCATAATTGGTGTTATAATCACTATTATACTATGATTTTCTTGAATGTAACAACAAAACCTTCCTCTTCTAATTTAATTTTTCTTTGCATAATCACTTCATTAATATTTTGTTCTGCTCTGTCACCATATCTTGAGTTCTCCATATTTGAAATAAATAGTATACATGATTATCAATTGGATTCCAATGACCATTCGCTAAGTATGTAAAACTATCTGCCTCGTATTTTTCTATCAGTTTCATTTCATGATATGTTTTTGCAGCACTCGGTGTCATACCAGATTCAAAATAAGTTCAATATTAGGCTCACAACGTAGATAACTAAATGCCTCAGCTACTTCAATAAGATGGGAATGTTTAAAATATACATTTATTATAATATTGAGTCCCCTTTTTAAAGGACCCCGCAATAATCTTATGGAAATTGGGTTTCTGTCAAATTGTCTGAATTTTTGGTATGTTGTAGATTTTGTCATCCTGAACAAAAGTCTCCATGGGCACAAAGTGCTAAAATGAATATTTTGGCAGCTACGGAGCTGCCGAAGCTCCCCTGACCCGTTGAAAAAACTATTCATTTTCAATACTATTTACAGATGTCAGAAGCATATTTTGATTATTCTAATATATAGGGTAATGTTTTTGAGGTCACTGGATTCAACCCTCATGTCAGATTGGACAAATTGACCGTTGACAGCTGTCAATTCACAGTCAACGAGGAATATAAAAGTAAATATCCTCTTTTCACATTAAGAGTTTGGATTTTTGAGTTCGTTGACAGCTGTCAACTGTCAACTTGTCCAATTTGACATGATAATTGAATTCAGTGACCTCAAAAACTCAAACTCTCAATGTAAAAAGAGGATATTTACTTTTATATTCCTCGTTGACCGTGAATTGATAGCTGCCAACGGTTAATTTGTCCAATCTGACATGAGAATTAAATTCAACGACCTCAAAAACCCAAACTCTTAATGTGAAAAGAGGATATTTACCTTTATATTCCTCGTTGACAGTCAATTGACAGCTATCAACTCTCAATTTGCCCAATCTGACATGAGAATTGAATTCAGCGACCTAAAAAACCCAAACTCTCAATGTGAAAAGAGGATATTTACTTTTATATTCCTCGTTGACGGTGAATTGACAGCTGTCAACGGTCAATTTGTCAAATCTAACATGAGGGTTAAATCCAGTGACCTCAAAAACATTATCCTATATATTAGAATAATTAAAATATGCTTCTAACATCTGTAAATAGTATTGAAAATGAATAGTTTTGCAACGGATCAGGGGAGCTTTGGCAGCTCCGTAGCTGCCAAACTATTCATTTTGGCACTTTGTGCCCATGGAGACTTTTGTTCAGGATGACAAAATCTACAACATATCAAAAATTCAGACAATTTGACAGAAACCCAATTTCCATAAGATTATTACGGGGTCCTTTTTCTGTGTAAACCTATTTATTTTCTTCGCACGAAAGTCCATCTTAGCGGTACATAACTTATTGCGACTCCTAGCTTTAGTTTCTTTAGCAGTTTTGTTGTGCGATGAATGCTGACATACAAATGTTTTTCGAAAGGCCAATCGTTTTATTTTAGTGTAAGCATACCTTACAATCCAATTTGTTCGAGTGAGCAGTGAAAATTTCACTATCCACTCATCACTAAACCTGTTATAATCGTTTTCATAATTGTCCTTTAGCTTACAAGTAATATCCAAATGAAAAATGTCCCGTGTTTCGTACTGAAACTTCGAAATTATGTGGTCGTCACAAACTCCTTGAAGAAAATCACTCAAGTCTTACTCGGAGTCATTTTTGTAAAAATTTTTTAAACAACAGAATGCTTATGCTTTTTTTTAGGTTATAAGTAGTGATAGCAACACGTTACAACTAAATCGAGCACGCGGCCAGGCGGTAAAGTAAACATTTCAAAGTTTGGTGCGGATCGGCTCTCGTGTTGCCATGTGGTATATTCCACCTATAGGAAGAGCAGAAGCTTACTTAAAATCATACCAGGTGACAACACGCGTAGGAATTATAGATTTCACACGTGCGTATTGGTTTATAAATCCCTATGTGATTTCTGCGCTAGCACGAGGTAGTATTTTTAAAGAATTTTGGAAAAAATATGCATTTAATTCCTCCTTCATTTTAACACCTTAGCTTGCTGACATACAGTATGAAGTCATACAGCGCGGCTAGGACATGCTAAAAACCAATAATAATCATAACTTAAAAGATGCATATATACGTTGCACCAAATATGTCATTACCGGCCAGTCTATTATATGTTTCTTATAAATTAACCTTGTTATAACTCTAGTTAAATCTTACTCAACAAAGTCTAAAAAACGTCGTACTATTAGTTTCTACGCTATTAAAGAGTTGTACGTAATTTGCAATATTTTAATTAGTTATACCTACTTTTTATAAATTTGTATGTATATAGCATTTAGAATAACTACTTATATATTGTTTAAAAAATCAAAAAAATTCTGTATACTTAAATTTTAAATTCTTTTAACCCACATTTTTATATTAATTGTGTAAAAGGTTAAAATGAACACACAGTTTTTGTTTTCCTCTCTCGAAGTTTTTTCTTTTTTCGTGTTCTTATTTCGTAATTCTAATATTTTTTTTTTTTGTATTCATTGTAATTTTTATAGTGCATATTTTGTACAGTAAATTTGGATTATCGCGTTGGATACCTATTGTAAAAAAAATAATAAATAAAAATTAATACGTAGGACTTATTGATATGATTACATACTACTATCATTTTTTAGTATAGGAGAGAATTTCCTAAATTTTAATGTATCAATATATTTTGTTAAAAATGTGTGTTAATTATGTAATTGTTAATAATATGGAATCTATTATTTATTTAATTGTTTTTACATTTAATTCATATACATCTTTTGGAATTCGAAAATTTTTTATTAACCCTGCATTAACACTTGCACCATCACGCATCGGTTTGTTCACTATTTTCAAAGGAAATGTTTCATAAAAACATGCCACCACGTCGGTACCAAATTGAGTATGCTGTATTCCTCCATAATACATTTTACAGTTATATAGGCGTTTTCAGATCCATCATAATTATTTTCTATGCAGTTTTTTAGTGGATTGCGAATGTTCCATTCGTGACCAAAATCCATGCTGATCAAAAATGTAAACAACATATCGAATTCAATTTTGCCATTTCCATGTTGAATTCCTTGGTTTCTGCCAAAACAGAATAAAAAGTCTTTCACTTCTTGTTCATCTGGTACTCGCATGTATTCTATCATATGCATTAGTGTTTCCACGTCCACTCCAGAAGTATGGACGCAATAATCAATTACTTCAAAATCCAAATTCTGTTCTATAACTTCCTTCTCGTTCATTATGGAATCTGGCAACTCAATATCCTTTAAGACAAAAAACAATACGTTATTATGGTATAAGTAATTATGACCATTTCTTACATAAAGTCTATTACACCAATTTTAGTATCTACATGCATTAATATTCGACACACCTTCCCATATACAACCGTATTATACTTCTCTACGTAAACGTATGTTATTACATTTCGCGATTCAAAATTATTTTTGCACGATTGTCTTTTGTCACCAATTGTGTAAATTAATTTAGACGTTTCGAGATTGATGAGTCGCTATAATATCCATCTCTCTCGCATGCATAAGCTACAAACGTTTGAATTTAATACAATATTTGACGTAAAATAATCCCGCATTAGGAAGGTAAATTAAAAAACAAAGAGTATAGAGTTCTTTAAAGAAAAAAATATGAAACAAAAAACAAGCCAGTGATATATATACTAATAATAATTTATTTTTAAACACTCAATAAAAACGAAAATACATATTTGCTTAATGAAAACTAAATATTTATCTTTTTTAGTAAGTTTTAGAATTAACCTTAGCATCTAGTTATTACTATCGCAAAAAAATATACAAAAAATACAAGCAAAAATAAAACTCTCAAACAAAATCCATGTAGCATGCAATGGAAATAAATAAATTAATAATATTAATAATATTAATAATATTAATAATACTAATAATATTAATAATATTAATAATATTAATAATATTAATAATATTAATAATATTAATAATATTAATAATATTAATAATATTAATAATATTAATAATATTAATAATATTAATAATATTAATAATATTAATAATATTAATAATATTAATAATATTAATAATATTAATAATATTAATAATATTAATAATATTAATAATATTAATAATATTAATAATATTAATAATATTAATAATATTAATAATATTAATAATATTAATGCAATGTTGTCCGTAAAGTACTCAACAAACCTGCGGAAGAACAAGAAAAATAAGAAGAAAAAAATCTTGCGAGCTTTGTGACTTACCTCACCGGCCGCAAGAAACCACAGTGACACACACACGTGATAAAAAAAAAAAAAAAAATATATATATATATAATATTAATAATATTAATAATATTAGACATTATATAAAGTTAAAAATTTTGATGGGAACTTGATGCCACCTTTTTGAAAGGTACTAATAGATAAAGTAACAAGGGTTTATCAAATTTACGCCATCTGGAATATTATGCGACAGAATAAATCCAATTTTTAGTCAAAATCAGATGAAGATGAAGTATTTTACAATGCAAGTAGTGATGAAGATGAATAATACGAGCAAAATAAAATTTCATTTTTATGGTCTTGTTAATATTATTAATTTATCTATTTCTACATAGATTTTGTTTGCGAGTTTTATTTTTGAAATAATGATAACTAGAAGTAATATGCATTTTTTGTTTTAATAGAGTTTTAATAATAAATTATTATTATTGGTATATCACTGGCTTGATTGTTTTTGCTTAAAGAACTCCATTGAGCACTGTGCATGACAGCAGCTTCAATTAACTTATAAACTAACGGACGAATGTTTCATATACGGATAATACAATTTTTAGTATAATTCGTTATTAAAAAATATATATGCTGATTATATTAAAAGTAAATGGATTTGTTTGTAAAATAAGTAAAAAAGTTCTTAATTATCATTACCTACTTATATTTTTTTATTGATTTAGCTAAAAAAGTAAGTGTGATCAATAAAAATCAATAATAGAACATAGGCAGGCACCAGATTTTTTTTAATACTGCGTTGGGCTTAATTTCAATTTACTTTTAGGTATATTACATCGTTGCCAAGTCTATTTTGTATTTTGTGTATTGTTTATAAAATAGCTAATACCACAAAATTAAATTGATTGAATATCGAATAGAAATTTGGGTTAAAATTTAAACGTCTATAGTTATAAATAACTTTTAACCTGGGTCTTAAAATTAGTTAATACCTACAGAATAGGCCCATATAGAGTGAATTGGGATTAAGCCCAACGCAGGTAATCATTACCAGATTTATTACTGACTTAAGTTATAATTTATACCCAAATAATTAATACAGAATCAAAAAATTAAGAATAACATCAGGTTATTTTTATAATCCTGGGTTAATTTTAACTTAATTTTTACAGAATAGACCCCATATTTCGTAATATTTTGACACAAAAATAACAGTGGTAATCTTGGTAATAATTGGGTAGTTATGCGCAATTTTATATTTATTTAAAAAAATTTAAATATAAAGCGACCACTTACGCCCGGCAGAAAAATGGTTTTAAAATTACAACCTAAAGTAGTACCGACATGTAAATTCAAACCTTTGGTAACTTATGAGGTAGTTGTTTTTAGTGCCAGCTTTAGAACTATTAGTCTTATGCCAGGCTTGTACATTTTTAATTTTTTAAATACTTTTAGGTAAATATTAGCATTATAGTAGTAAAAAATATAATAAATTATCTATCTTCTTAAATGTGACCGAAGTAGAGACAATAAAAGAAACACATCTTGTACCACATACAAATTTAATTTTAAATGAAAAGGAGGATGGTTGGCAACTAGATAAACGTAACCTTAGCAACACATTCTCTGAACTAAGTTCTTATAATCGCGAGAAAAGAGAAAATGAAAAGGGAAGGAAGGAAAATTGGACAAAGGGAATGGTCTCAATAAAAGAAGTAAATGAAAAGAATTATTAAGTATTACAAATTAAAAATTAAAGATCGGTTTGACCGGTAATCGCCTAGTGAAGCAGAATATTTTTAGTGGTTAGGTGAATGATGATCTTATGATTAATAGACAATAGTCAATAACTATAAATGATATACATACAACCAAACTTATATGGAATCATCTATTATTATTGATAATTTTTAAGATGTATGAACATTTTTTATTTATGAACAACACTCAGTCCTCACCAAAGACTTTTAATGAGAAATAACCCACATGGCAATAAAAAAAAATCAATTAGTTGACACAATAAACACAATAGTATTTTTTAAGTTTCTGAAATGAAATGAGATTTAAATTTGTAAGAGCCAAAAAACAAAAACAAAAAGAAAATTGATTAAGTTTAACAATCCGTGTTGCAACCTCTAGCCCTTATGCAAGCTTCTATTCCCCTTGACAGGCTTCTTATTAAATTATCAACATTGTCTTGGGGTGTGTTTTTCCATTCTGCTAATGTTGCATCAATAAGCTGTGCGACATTTCCTGCATTGTTTCGACGAGCTCTAACTCTTCTTTTAAGCTGGTCCCACAAGTGTTCGATATGATTTAGGTCTGGTGAACATGCGGGCCAGTCTAAAACTGTGACACCTTTCGTTTCAAGACATTCTCTAGCCACTCTGCTGGTATGGGGAGGTGCATTATCGTGCATAAAAATAAAATTATCTTCAATTGCAACTTTCCAAAGCCTAACGATTGGTTCTATCACTAAATCAACATACCTCGGACCGATTAAAGTTTGTTGAATAGGTAACAATGGAGTTTTTACTCCCTGCATAATACCTGCCCAGAACATTACAGTCCCTCCTTAATATCTTAGGACAGATCTGGCCGCGTGGAGTCTCGCTCATCTTCCTGGAGCTCTGAGAACCCAAATTCGATGTTAATCTGATCATAGGCTAATTTTGGTCTCATCCGAAAAAAGAACATTTTGTCAATTCTCAATTATTTATTTATTATTATATATATAATTATATTATTTAGTTTTGGTGTTGAAAGCGTCAATTTAGCCGGTCAATTTTATTTTGTCTAGATAACGGTGAGACCCGTAACTCTCTCTTACTGTACAACCCTCGAGCGCGAAGTCTTTTTCTTAGGGTTTTAACTGAAAGCTTCACACCTGTAGCACTTAGAAGTTGTTGTTGTTGTTGTTGTAGCTCTGGATAAAAAACACTAAGATTTCTTCTAGAAATTTAGCACACAATGCGGCCCTGTTATTTATTTGTGACTTTTTGACGACTTTGTCTGGTCCTGTTCTTAAGAGTTTCTAGTCCTAAGTACCTTTCATGTTTTCCATACAACACACTGGGTATCGCCTACTGCCTCTGCTATGTCTCATTGAGACATTCCTTGTTCAATGAGAGAAACAATTCTTCCCATCTGTACGTCACAAGGCATTTTGCTGTTTTTTGGACCGAAATAAAATTACCGGAGTATCTTGATTTTACTTCTAAACACAAAATTCACAAGATAATAAATCGCAACAGTCGTTTCTTCTTTATTATCATGTTTGTTTTGAACAAAAAGACTTATCTTAAAGTTGGATACCAAATTTTTTTCTTACAAAAAGTTTATTCAGAAATACAGTGATTCCATATAAGTTTGTTTGTATGTATTTTAGATTAGCAAGAACATAAAGTTAAAAGAAAAATGAGATATGGATTTAAATATATTGTGCCAAGATAAATTCAATTAACTTACTGGAAGTGCAAATGGAAGAATATCTTCATATTCTGTGTCAGTTGCTGATAATGTCGAGCAAATAAAATATGTTATTATAAAAAATAACATTTTTTTTAACTTACTTATCGAAATAAACTAATCGTTTCAATATTTAATTTTATTACAAAATTATCATCAGTTAGAGTATAAAATGTTTTTATTAAAATTAATTAAAATTATTAACTTTTAATGAGAAGTGAAGTGTGTCCAACTAAATATTTGTAATTTATTCCTTGCAGGAAATTAAAAAACACTTTAAAATAATAATTAATAACAGTTATTGGGGTCTATTCTGTAACAATTCCTTTATATTTAACGGCCTTTAAAAATATTTTCTTCTTTACTTCTGTCATTATTTAAACAGATTTCTTTAAGATAGTCCTCTAATGTATTTTAAAGATCCGTTTAAATAATGACAGAAGTAAAGAAGAAAATATTTTTAAAGGCCGTTAAATATAAAGGAATTGTTACAGAATAGACCCCATTATTGTTTGATATATAAGTTATGCTAAATAATTTTTAGTTTATTTTTAATAATAATTTACCTGGTGTAGCTCAATAATATCATCACCACTACTCATTATAGCAAAAATAATATTTGTCCAATTTATTTTCTCAACACTTACTTTGGCAGCCTGTGAATATACCTTTATGATTTAATATATTGCCTAGTGCCAAAATACTTTGTATATCTTTTATAAAGAGTAATATTATCTTATTATTATTCACCAACCTTCATACTATCAATTAAATTGGAAAAAATAATAGAAATTTTACAACTACTTTTCACAGGTGGTGGTCAACGTCTGTCAAACTACTTTTGTGTTTTTATTTTATCTGAGTATAACATTGTGTTTAAGGAGGTCCTTTCGCCACCAATGTTAAATAAAAAATATTAGATTATGACTAAAATTAATTTTTTTCTAATAGTAGAAGTCCTTATTTATCTAATAGTGAACTTTTAACTATACCGTGCAAATTTTTGAGAATTTTTTTTTTAAATGTGTGTGTACAGTGTCTTACGAGAAAGTAAGACTTCAACAACAATTTTCGAATTATAATTAATTTTACTACTATTTATTGATTAGATGGAGTAGAAAAAACTAAAAATAACGTTTTTAAAATATTTAGGTTTTGTTTTTTACAATAAAATATATAGGTTACCGTAGAATTTATTGAGAAATTAATATTAAAAAATCACAAAAAATTTTCAACTAGGTTACTTTAAATTTTTTTTTAAAATTAATTTCTCAATAAATTCCAAGGTAACCTATATATTTTATTGTAAAAAACAAAACCTAAATATTTCAAAAACCCTATTTTTAGTTTTTTTCTACTCCATCTAATCAATAAATAATAATATAATTCGAGAATTGTTGTTGTAAGACACTGTACAAATACATTTTTAAAAAAAAAATTCTCAAAAATTTGCACGGTAAGGTATAGTTAAAAGTTCAACATTAGATAAATAAGGACTTCAACTATTAGAAAAAAAATAAATTTTAGTCATAATCTAATATTTTTTATTTAACATTGGTGGCGAAAGAGGTGGCGAAAGGACCTCCTTAATATGTTATACAAAAATTTGTTCTACGCACATGGAAAATGTAAGTCTTAAAATCACAAATTTTGATTTTCTTTTACTATACGGAGAATGGTCGGACTGCGCAGCTTTCTGAGTGCCTTTTAAAAGGAGATAGAAAACTCCGCCATTTTGAACCCTTATTACGTGTTGCCTACATCTTGGCGCAATATTTTTAATAGGTGCGTTTTAATTATCCGCTTCTGCATCGGAATTGTCGGTTTTCTTGTTTTAATCTGACAGGTTAAAACGACTAAACCGACAATTCCGGAAGTAGAAGCGGATGATTAAAACGCACCTGATATTTTGCTTGCTGCTGTCAGTGTCAGTGAATATTTTTGATATTTTTGAAGTCACAGTTTATTGCTAAAGAATCAGTTAGCTCACTCGGACCAGTTAAAAGTTTCAAAATAACATCCACTCCAGGGATACAAATTCAGGATACGCAGAAGACTGCTGTTTTATTATAGGCGGTTGTCATATATTGTATTATCCGAGTTGCACAGTGTATAAACTGAAACATTGAGATCAAAAGTGCCGACGCAGAGTGAGCGATCTGATTCTTTAGCTGTAAACTGTGTCACAGGGTTCAAAATGGCCGCGCCCTAGGTTGGGCGTGTCGGACCTCTCTCTTGCCTCGTATAGTAATCAAAGTATGAGCTTAAAATCAATTGAATTAATGTAAGTTTATCAATTGACTTTGTATTAAATTGCAGTACCCTTAATTTCATTTGCTGTGATACAGTTTCGCACAGAGAAACCGATGTTTATGTTGACTTTCAGGGCTCATTATTAGAAATCACAGCCAGAAATTGCAACTTTTCCCACTGACTATCATTTTATTGTAGTTTAGTATTCATCATTTACTTTTCCATTTGACCAATGATTGTGGACAATATCAATGATATCTAAAAGGCAAGTAAATTTATTGAAAATTTTATTTTTCTTAAATTTACAAAAATTATAATTTAACTGTACCTAATCAAATCCAAATTGTCTAATTGTTTTGTTAATAATCTTTTAATAATCTCAAAATTCTTGTTGGTACTTCTGACTTTTACAAATCCTGATTCCTTCAAATTTTATGATTTTTTTAATATACATGGAACATATTATTATAAAAACAGTATGTTTTCTGTTATAATGAATAAATATTGATTCATTTTTTGTAAACGCTGATTAAAGTTGTATAACAATAGTTAGATACAGTTGGGGAAGAAAATATTTTGTTTTACATAATATCTTTTACATTTGTAGAAAAAATTTTATCGTTCAGATATCACTGGAGACCGAAGAAATAATTATTAAAGTTTAAAATTTAATGTCTTTTATGTTCCGTAACGTGGTCCAATAAACAGATTTTAAATTGTATTGCCAAATGTCTCGTCTACTTTTATTTTTCTATTAATCCATTCTCTGTGTGTATTATAGGATGAGTGGAAAACAAAACTTATTAGGTGTCTGTTCTTTATGTTAACAATTCTGGACAATGCATAAAGTGGTCTAGTAACTAATAAAAGGATGGCGTCGATTAAAATGAACTGTTAATACACTCCAAGAGGCTCTGAGAGGGTTACATACAGTGAGCACCCCCCTATCTAACTCGTTACTGGAGTCTTGTTAGGAATATCGCCGAGACACGTCGATTTTTGATTTCTACAATGTACATTTTTGTATGAATAGTTTATCCTTAATTTTATCCCTTACTGGAGGGGAGCAACCCTTTCGAAAAATTTAAATGGCATGGGGTGGTGAGTGATAGCTCATTTGAAATAGAGTTTTATTCTCTATTCAACCGTGTAAAAAAATTTGAAATTTGCTTCATTAATTCTCGACTAATTGTTGTTTCAGAATAACAGAAATTAACGTAGCGCACTCATCCTTGGAATTATAATTCGGCCCTGCATGATTTCGGTTTTGGTTCAGACGTGAAGTAAGACTTTTTGCCATTAGAAGGTCACTGTTAGTCTAGTTGCTTTCCTATTTTGTGAGGTTTTGTTATTTTTAAACATTAATAAATCAACACGTAATGAAGCAAATTTCAAATTTTTTGCACGGTTTAATAGAGAATAAAACCCCCTTTTAAATGAGCTATCACTCACCACCCCATGCTATTTAAATTTTTCGAAAGGGTCGCTACCCTCCAGTAAGGGATGAAATTAAGGGTAAACTAATCATGCAAAAATGTACATTGTAGAAATCAAAAATCGACCTGTCTCGGCAATTTTCCTAACAAGACCCCAGTAACGAGTTAGTTAGGGGGGGTAAGACTTATGATGCGAAAACCTCTTTCAAAAAATTTTAATTTCAAAAATCTAAAATATTAAAATTATTATTTTTTTTATATAATAAAATGAATGTGTTTCTCATGTGCGCTATGTTAAGACTTCTTTTCCCTTCTGCCTTCTCATCTGGATGTCTCTTACCACTCTTCCCTATTCCTCGTACTCGCCTACCTGCTGCTCTTCCTTTGTGGTAACTTGAGAAATATCAGGGTTTATCACTACAAATGATAAAATATTTTTTGTATTTTCTTCATTTTTAGCAGGTGTATGGTACACTTGAAGGAAAATAACCAGTTCTTAATTTTGCCTCTAATTTCCTAAATGTTACGTGCGATGGTAGTTAAGACCTGGAATTCTTATTAGTAATATGTCTACACATTCACTGGGAGTTAATCTAGAAGGCATTTTGATTACCATAAGATTCAAATGTAATCAGAACAAAATTTTGTGACATAACTATGTCAAATATATTTCTTTTTAGTTGCTATAAGAACAGCTTGTAAATAAAAGAAGAGATGAAATAATATATTTTATTGTCCAACCAAGAGAAACATCCAATAAAATAAAATCTGAAAAATGAAATATAACTAACGCCGTTTTCCTAGGTTATACGAATACACTCATTGTGTTATTTTTTTTATAATCCGTAAATAAGTAACTTAAAACGCTAGTAAAGCACGTTGGTTGATTATAATGCTAAGAATAACCAAAATAGGCATAGTGTTTTCGATGTACCGTTTTTGTACGTGCCTGTGCGAAAATAAGTTGTGTCTCACTCAAAATCATGTTATCTGCTCAACTTAGTAAAAGTTGTGTTTAGTCCGTGAGCTGATGTTTAGTAATATTTTTTTGTGTTTCTTTTGTGCTGTTATAAGATGAACATTTTTAACACGCATATAGTGGATTACATAAAGTAAGATTAATATTTTAATCCATGATTATAAATTTTATGTTTGGATATTTTTTATCTGTAGATTAGAAAATCCTATGATTTTGTGAAATATTAATTCTTTGATCCATCAAAATAGTTGTCATCATGGCTAACTTCAAAAAGTTCAAAATGAATGTAAGCAAGCGTGAACAGTGAAAGAACTTTATTGAATACTGAATTAGACAAGATAAATTTACTAAATATTACCACTATATTTAGAAGTTAAACTTCAATTTTATGTATACAAATGTCAATATAATTCTTTAAATAATACAACCCAAATATGACATTAGCTTAGATAACAAAATCTAGAGATACTAAATATCCATGAATAAAATGTATTATCTGGGTTTAAAATTTAATCTTCATTATTGGGTACTTTAATACAAATATAAAATGTGCCAAGAAAGTTATTAGGAAACTAAGAAATTTATCACATGTATAAATATTAAGTATAATGATTTATTTATTTATTTAGAAAAGTTAAATGGATACTAAAACTTATTTATAATAAAGAGCCTTCATACGCGAGTGATCTTCTGTTTCTGAATACAGGAGTTCTGGATATAAGGCAAATATATTGTTTAACTCTCTTAACGAATATTCACAAGGGTAACATAAAACTAATACAAATAGAACATACCTACAACACAAGACAAGTCACTTTCTTTATCCCACGCTGCAGTAAAACCATTGGACAAAGACTTTGTGGCTTTATACGTTCAAAATTATATATTTTAATTCCTGAAAATCAGTGGCGTAGCCAGCCATGGGAAGGGTTTTTAAGAACTATGGAGGAGTTCCATCAAGAAAGTGAATAAAAACAATCAGTCAATAGCGATCACCGTCAATACTATAGCGTAAATGGTGCCGCGAGGGCTCTCCATTAGGGGCGGGGTTCTGACCCCCTAAACCCTCCCGTGGCTACGCCACTGCTGAAATTATAAAAATAAAAAACACAATTTATTTAAATCTATGCTAAAAAAATGGTTATTAAACACACTCAGAAAATTGTTTCATACTTTATTAAATTAATTATATAAATTTGACAATAGATATAAATATATAAATAACTATACTTACCCTAAATAAGACTTTCAACCGAATATGACTAATACCCTATTGTGATCTTTTCGCATTATACTGACATTGACAAAAAATCCCAGATTTGACATCACCCGATTTTTGACTTTTTTTAGTCTATAATATACCTACCTAATATGTAACTATGTATCTATTTAATTTTACATAATAAATGTTTAAAAAAAAATGTCAACACAAAGAAAATTATAAATTATTATCATAAATTATCACGTACAAGCAGTACCAATTGATATTTTAATTTTTGTAAATAGGTGTTTTATGAAATATATGTTTGTCTTCTTTCAAATAAATTTATTAAACAATGAACAGCAGATTTTATTTATTTTACTTTAACATTATAAATTAAAAAATATAATTATTTCCTTAAGAAAAGTTTTTCAGTAGTTTCAGTTAGTATTGGTTAAAATGGACGAAACCCCGTTATTATTGCTAAATTGTAAGTAACAATTATGACAATATAAAGATATTTTGCCCATTTTAACCAACTCTTTATATTTATATTTACATTTAATGAATGAATCATACTGGATTTAATTTTGGAAATAATGGTAAATACTTAAATAAGTACTATTTCTGAAAATTTGTCTATGATATCTAGACCAAATATCCAACACTTAATACATATGACATCCGACTTATTTTTGCGAGAAAACACTTGTTTCCACAGAAACGTGTAATAAAATTGAAAGTCCTTCTATTATAATATAAATCGAAAATTTGTTACGGTTTCAAAATTTCTACTATATATTACACTCCGAACTAGTGAGAAAAATGCACCTCATATGCAATGAAAAGTTTAATATTAATAATATTTAAAATCTATATAAAATATCCTGTAACGAGAATAAATCTAAAGCCTGATGATATTTAATTGGGTACTTTCTCAACTCGTGCGTTAGCAACTCGGGCGTAATATAAAACTACCTGAATTCGTCGCAACTCGGGCGCCCTCCAAAATTGTGCACCTGTGAGTTCGCAACTCGGGCGTCGACGGGATATGAAATTTGACCATAGTTTAAGTACCCTGATTCTGATTACAATCTGATTCAGGTAGTAATGAATTATCGAAAATTTAAGAGAAATGAATGACATCGCAGAACAAGCTTTGATTTTAACAGATAGCGAGCATTGAAAAGTTAGTTGATGTAAAAAAATTGAAGATTTTTCCATTACGGTTTATTTTAGAGAAATCATGTGTAGAATAAAAAATAAAGAGCATGATATCGGGATCATTTTCATATTATTCGCGATTTCTAAAATATTTCCGGAAATAATTTGGTCACTAGTGTTATTATAAGTGAAAATAATGAGAAAAATTCGAATTTTGCACTTTACCTCAAATTTCCAGAATTCGTTCTATTTTAGAGAAATGTATGGAACAAAAATTATAGAGAATTACATTGTAAGCAACTTTTATTTGAAGAATTTTCTTTAAAATTTGAATTTTGCACTTTTTGCCAAAATTCTCGAATACGGACCATTTTAAGAAAATCATGAATATATTAAAATAATATATAAATATTACAAAACGCCTCAGAAACATTTCTAAAACATTCCTAACATGTAAAAATATCCTGTAAATGTAATATTTCCAATATTTTATAAATAATAATCAGAAATATAACATACTAATATTTCAGAAATGTATCCAACAACAGACGCAAACTTCCAATTATTTAGAATATATGGTTTTCTCTAAAATAAAATTATTACTTAAAATAAAATGACTACAACATAACCCCATCTTCTTTCTCTTCTTACAAATGAGAAATTTTTCAAATCCTTGCCATTTACAACATAACAAACATAAACGAACTTAATATTCTAAGTATAATCAATGAAAATGTTTAAAAATATGATTGCAATAAAGTAGAATAATTAATATTTTTAGGTAAAATATAAACAAAACGTCAAAGTGTTTCGATACAATAACGTTTTTATTACGAGTTTTATGTAATTTACAGAAACGTTAATATTAAACGTGTATGTATCTTAATATCCAACTTTCGGTTGAACCACAATTACATAATAACATTTAAAAAGAATATTAAAATAAACTAGAATAATTAATATTAAAATAACGTAGATTTAGTTTACATTATTAACCAAACGTTAAAAAGGTTGAAATACAATAATCTTTTACATATTATATATATTTAACAAAATGATTAACTTTTAGTTAAATAACAACGTTTAAACATAATATTAAAATATAGTTAAATAAAAGAGCCACAAAATACAGTAATCTCGACCGATAAATAAATGCCATCGTGGAAGACTTAACAAACTGTCATGAAATTATTAAGTCCGACTCTGTCTAAGAACGCGGCCTTCACGTCTGGGCAGCCGATTCATGCTAGAGGCGATGGAATATTCTGGGAATGTCGCTGAGGCTCGAGAAACGGGTAGAACGCACGGAGTGTTCCGTTGAGTCAGAATTGGAATTTTCCCGACCATCGGGATTATTCTGGTTACAGATTTGGCTTAATATAATATCGCGTTTGTGAAGACGGCGGTCAGTTGATTATAGACAGTTTTAATATAGAACATTGTATTGGAAAGTTAAAGTGTAAAAAATAAATTAGAATTGTTAGTTAGTATTATATAAATTAAATAGTACGTCTAAAATAAATTGAAAATAGTGTGTTTTAAATAAATAAACTAAAAATAAATTAGACTTTCGTCACAAAACGGAAAAACTGACTTGCAAAGTACACTCGAAATATTAAGACATGTTGTAAGGTTCGATTAATTTTTTTTGATAAAACTAATAAAAAAAAAGTTTTCTATATGTAGCAAACTTACACAGACACGCTGTAGATAAAAAATGTACTAAAATAAAAATTAAATAGCTAGCCGAGGTAGGTACACTATTATTTATCAATCTAATTATTATATAAAAATTAAATTTAACTTTTTCAATAAAAACGACAATTTCAAATGTCATAACAATGTAATGTAAATACTATTTTTGCAGAGAAAGATAAATAAAAAATCTTGTTTTATGAAAGTTACATAATATTTACAAACTGGCAAGTTCCTCTTGTATGGCACTCCGTATATAATTTTAAGTTTAAGCTGAAAGCACCTTCTTAGGTTAAACTAAAGAGGTGATATTCATTATATTACTATAATATTGGTACTAATCCTTGAACGCCCGAGTTGCGAAGGGTATTTAATCTACCTGTAGCTTTACGCCCGAAATGCGAAAAATTAAGTATTCCGCTCGAGTTGCGACGCCCGAGATGCGCATAAATCTATAATAGAGTAGTTTTTCTCGCCCAGCTGATTATGGTTACCTGAAATTTAAAATAAAACATAACTTTAATATCTAAGTCTTGAAGTTACTGACCTTCTTTAATTAGATTTATCACTTTAATATTCTGTTAATAATATTTTTCTGTTCCTTTTTCCTTAAGCCGTTGAAATTTTCTATCCTAAAATAAGTAATAATAATTCTGGTTATTTATTTTAATAATATATAGGGTTTGTTTATTGTTATTGTGTCACTTGTCCTTGTGTCATTGTCATTTAATCCACCAGATTGACAAGATTTGGTTCTGGGTGAACTAAAGTACAGTTAGAACTTA